GGCCCGGGGCGGCAGCGGCGAGAGGAAGGCCCGGGGACAGGCTCTCGGGGCTGCCCGTAGCCTTCAGGGAGAAGCGAGGCGGCCGCCGGTACCGGGCCGAGCGTCCAGACAGGTGATCGGTGGTGCGGCGGGAGCTGCAATCACGCTCCGTGGTCCCCTCCCGGGGCTGACGGCAGCAAATATGCGGATTTACCGGCCGGGTCGCTCCTAAAGCCAGCGACGGGGAGCGAGCGCGGCGGCGGCCAGCACGGGGAACGCACCAAGGAAGAAGCCCAGCCCCCGCCCTCCGCCCCTTCCGTCCCCACCCCCTACCCGGCGGCCCAGGAGGCTCCCGGCGCGACTCTGTTCCTCCTCCTCCTCCTCGCTGGCTCTGCACTCGCAGCTCGCGCCGGGCGCGCTCCGCAGGCTCCCTGCTCTCCGCGCCACCCTCCTCCGGGCCGCGCTCCCTGAGGGATGGTACTGAATTTCGCCGCCACAGGAGCCCGGCTGGAGCGCCCGCCCCGCGGCCTCGCCTCCCTGCCGAGCTTCCAGCGCCTCGGGACGCGATGAGGACCTGGGCTTGCCTGCTGCTCCTCGGCTGCGGATACCTCGCCCATGCCCTGGCCGAGGTGGGTGCCACCCCCGCGCCTCCGTCCCTTCTTGGCTCCCTCCGCGCACGCCCCCCTCGGCTACCTGTTTCAAGCTCTGCAAAGAGCATTTCGATTTTTGCCAGGGTGGTGTAATTTAAAAAAAAAAAAAAAATTCCCAACTGGGTTCTATTTTCTGCCATGCCCAAGTGTGTCTGGTGAGTTTCCAGCGCGTTGCGTCGCTCCGCCTTGGAGAGGGACGGGGGAGCCGCGAGGTGAACCAGTGGGCAGAAACTTCGGGGGGCTGTGGGTGCCTTTCCAGAAGGGGCAGCCCGAACGCAGCGGACAATGCAGTAACGGGGTGCGGGCAGCGGGAAAGGGGGTGTGTGTGAACTGACCGTGCCCTGGGAGGGGACTAGGGCGGGCAGTAAGCAGGTAGAGGAGGGTGCGGCCGAAGCCCGGGACTGGGCAGGGTGGGCAGCGCCCAGCCGCAGTCCCCAGTTCCCGGTCCCCAAGCCCAGTCGGACGCGGGGCTGGAGCAGTCTCCGCCCGCCCAGGGCCTGCTTACAGGTGGCTGAGCGAGGCAGATGGGGCCGGGCCAGGCGCCCGCGCCCTCCCACCGCTACCACCCCCCAGTCCCCGGGAGCTTTGCTGTGATGAATGACTTTCCACAGCCCCTGTCGTGGGAACTTCGTGGTTGAGTCCCCCAGCGACCCTGACTCCCTTTAAAAAACTGGGAGGGAGAGTGGGGGAGGCTGCAACAGTGGGGGTGGTCTGGGCAGGGACCGGAGAGGCGCGAGGTGGATATTTAACCCCTTGCGTTCCCTGCAGACTCTCTAAGCCCCGGTGGATTTGGGTGTCCTAGTCGGCGCTAGGGCCGTGACTGGGCCCGAGCCGGGTGGGGCGACCGCGGGCGTGTGGGGGTGCGCGAAGACCCTCTCCCCGGCGGGCTCGGCCCAGGATTCCCGGGAGTGAAATTGAACCCTCAGGCTAGATTAAAGTGTTGGGGCTGCTGTGACTCCAGACGTGGATCCGTGACGCATTTCGACCCTCTCTTTTTACGTGTGGATTTAGCTATTAAACCAGAAACTCATCGGGCCCCGGGCTGCCCCCAGACACCCTGGGGAGGACCAGAGCGCGGGTGCTTTTTGTCTGAACATGTCAAGGCGGTGTTGGTTTTATTTTTTTTTTTAAACCAAGGTCAGACAAACAGGAATGGGGTGAAGGACTTGGGGGGGGGTCCCATCTAGCCCCACCCGAGCCTTTGGTTCTATGGCTTGGCCGGGGTCGGGCGGTTCTGCGTGGCCCCTGGGGCCGGGCTGGAACCTCTGGGCGCGTCCTGACGGTGTGGTCTGCTTGCAGGAAGCCGAGATACCCCGAGAGCTGATCGAGCGGCTGGCTCGAAGTCAGATCCACAGCATCCGGGACCTCCAGCGACTCTTGGAGATAGACTCCGTAGGTAAATCGCGCCCCTGCCCCTGGCTGCGGGAAGGGCGCGGGCGGCGGGGCGGGCAGTCTGCGAGAGGAACCGTACCCAGCGCTCGGCCGGGCCGGGTGCTGCGCAGGAGCGCACCGAAAGGTCAGACTCCACTCGCCGGCCATAAACGCCCAGGCGTATGAGTCAGGCGTTTCTCCTGCAGTCGCCACTTTCTCTCCCAGCGGCAGCCGAGCGCCGCTCCGCTCGCCCGGGGGTTGTTTTTGCATTTAAGGGAATCGCAGCGGGTGTGTCACTGAAAGTTCAGCTTTAGAGCGTGCCGAAAGACCCTGCCAGGTGTGCGGGTCAACCGCCGCCTCTGGCCCTGGAGCGCGGGAGCCCGCCCTTAGGGCGCGCGGCTCTAGCAGGTCTTCCGCCTGGCGAGGGCCCCCAGAGTGCTGGAGGAGCTGGCCGGTCCGGGCCTTTTGTAAACTCCTCTCCCTGGTGCCTTGATTGCCCGGGGCTGGGTCCCTGTGGTGGCCACAGGAGGCCGATGTTTTTCTCAACATCATCCTGTAAAAAGGCGCGCCTGGGACATTTGCGCTTGGGGCTATTTTGGGGGCTCCGGGCCTCGGGCTAGAGCCAAGCCACTGTAGAAAACAATTTGTAGATGTAGGGTTGGATTAGGCTCGGATCGACAAGGACTAAAATAGAGGGTCATGGTGGGGGTGGAAGAGGCTCTCTGTGTGCTGGAGGACAAGGTCTCCTGTCTTTTGTGACAACCTTTCCAAAATGAACTCTTGGCCTGGGTATTCTTTTTGACACACCGGGATAAAATTTACCAGCTTAAAACAAACCAACAAAAAAGGGCCCGATGAGTTTGTCAGGAGGAACTAGAGGCGGCTAAAGTGAAGAATGCTAAGTGATGATTTCCCCCTCCTTGCAAACTTTTCAGAAAGGGGGAGTGGTGAGAGAATTAAGTAAAATCACATGGTCTAACCATTTGGAAATTTGTACCTAATTATGGTGGTGGAGAGGACTGAACTGTTTTTTTTGCATGCCAAAATCATTTTTTAACAAGGCGGCCCCGTTTCAGTAGTTTCTTGACCCAGGAAATCCTTGGCCTGATCCTTATCAGGAGTGGCAGGCCTAAGGTTTCACTTGGAGATTAAGAGTGGGGCAGGGGGTTTTGATCTGATGCCTTGATGTGCAGGCCTGGGTGGAGGACTTGGCTTGGGTCACTGGGGAAATACTCCCGGAGCTTTTGCTGGTCCCCAAAGGCTTTGGAGACCGAGGGACTGCTTTCCTGCCCCGCTTAAGCCAGGGCCGGGCCTCCTGCTGTCTGGATGCTGGGGGAAATGGGCCATTCACTTTCTGCTGGGACCATTCTTATGCTGTTTTCTGCAGCCACGCCTCCCTCCCCCACCCCCCCCACCATTAATGCTTTTAGCACCGTGCTTCTGTTAGGTTAAGCTGATGTGCCCAGTGGGGGGCTGGAGGCTTCTGGGTTGAGGCCTCCTCCTCAGGAGGGTCCGAAGAGAAAAAGCAGTTCGGCCCCTCTGGAGGTTTCAAATTGCTTCTGTAAGAATGGTGTGTGTGTGTGTGTGTGTGTGTGTGTGTGTGTGTGTGTGCGCGTGTACACGTACCAGGGGATTTAGGACATCCACCCTCTTCAGTCCACCTGTCAGACACTTGGGGTCTTCTGAGTACCAATGTGGGTGTGGCCTGCCCTCCTAGTTTCCCAGTCTTGAAGACGGGAGGAGACCCCTTTGTGACACCAACACAAAATGATGTCTCCCTGCTGGGCCACCCCCTGTTCTGGCGTGGAAACTAACTGGAGTCTTGTCTTTGGTCTGTGGACAAGAGTGGCTGGCTGGCTCTCCTCGTTCTCATTTGGTTCCTTCTTGAAGTGAGGAGCTCTGTGGCTTCAAGCTGCTGCAGAAGGCTGCAGACAGCTGTGGCGGTCAGAGTGAGCTGGAAGGGGTCCTCACTGGGATGTTGGCCACGGTGGCCTCCCCAGCTGGGTTTTTGATGTCCCTCTATGTAGGTTGCAGGCAGCAGAGGAAGACTTAGGGGTGTTCCAGGCTCCCCAGCCAAACTCTTCATCCAAGTGGGTGGAGCTTTGTGATTGGCACATGGCTGGTCTGGTGGGCTGGCGGCGTCCCCATTTTCCAGATGGGGAAACCCTGAAGGCATCTCCTCTCAACCTTGCAGCTCCAGAGGTGGCAGGACTGCAATACATTGCCAAGAATGTCCCCGAGCCCAGAGCATTCCATGATTGAGTCAAGGAGCTCCAAGTGGCCTTGTAGTGTGGCTTTTGGGTCTAGAGACTGGCATGCAGCCTTGCTGTGAACTGCAGCTCAGGAGTTCAGGTCGTGTGTGTGTGTGTGTGTGTGTGTGTGTGTTTGTGTGTGTGTGTGTAACGGGAGCTTTGTTCTCTAGAGCTGCTGGCCAGGCGCCCGTGGGTCATTGAGTAACTGATACATAAACATCCCATCCCAGGCTACTCATAACACTGTGGCCAGGACAGGGCTAGTGGACTCTGTCTGTCCTTCCTCCAGCCGACAGATATTGTCACTGAGACGTCTGCATAGGACAAAGGGAGATGACTTGGTTGACCTCAGAGGGGCTTAGCTGCTAATTCATGGTGGGCTCCACTGTGTCATACAGGATAACATCCTCAGGCTCCCAAAGACCTCATCTGTCGTACATCTTTGATAGTGGGTAGTGGGTCAACCATTGGCTTGTGACCACCTGTTTTCTGTTTTTTTTTTTTCTTTTTCTTTTCCTTTTTTAAAAGATATGGTCTCATATAGCCCAGGCTGCCCTTGAAGCCTCTTACGTTGCCAAGGATGTCCTGTCTCCACTTCCATAGGGATAAGTTTACATGCATTCATCACCACACTTATTCAGTGTCGTGCTAGGGATAGAACCCAGGGCCTTATGTGTCCTGGACCCTCTTCCAGCTGAGCTAGATCCAGCTGTTTGTTTGTTTGTTTTGTTGTTGTTTTGTTTTCTGAGAAGGGTGGCCTTGAACTTCAGAAACTCCTGTTAGGCCACCACATCTGGCTCGTGACCTCCTATCTTGATCTGGGCTTGTCTTGGGCTTGTCTGCGTAGGAGCCGTGGCCAGTCTCTGTGGCAGAATTTCTGTCTCTGCATTAAGCTCAGTCAGGAAACCTTGAGTCAGGGGGTTGAGCCACTGGGTAGACCTTAGGGTCCCAGCTTTCTTTTGGTCTTTACTTTTTTTTTTTTTTTTTTAATTTTTACTTACTTATTTATTTTTATCTTTGAGAGACTGGATCTTGTGTATCCCAGGCTGGCTTTGAATTTACTTTGTATGTGGGTCTGACCTTGAACTCTTGGTCCCCCTTCATCCACTTCCTGAGTGAGGGGGCTCACCCCATGCCTGCCTGGCTTGTCCTTGTCTTGCTCAGTATCTCTGGAGTAGAGTGCCTTGGCCTCTGCTGAACCCGTGACACCTACTGTGTGCACGTTGAGGCGAGCCTGGCATCAGAGGACGGGAGTGGGCACCACTGCCCACTCTCCCAGGCCCCGTGAGTGGATGATGACCCATTCATTTCTTGTTAGTTTGGCCATGGCGACATGGTCATCACCAGGTCGTGACTCGTCCTGTCACTTTTTTGTGAAGAGGTACTTCTCTGTAACAGTTGGTTGATGGGAAATTTTTACTGCATGAGCAGTTCTGATCTTATTTTGGGTCTTAAAAAAAAAAATCCGTGCCATTGGAACATTGAGTCATTTTAAATAGTTTTTGGGCTCGGATTCATCGTTGACATTCACACCTTAGGCGAGTCTTTGCTTTTCGTCTTAAACGTGTGGGTAGCAGACATCTCAGAGTGGAGGAGGCTGGCGTGTCTCCTGTTGGTTTGTGGATGGTGTGGTACCTGGTGGGGTTTATTATTGCCCACTAGGAGGGCCCTCCATTTGGGTGGAATGTCACTAACTGGTGGGACCCAGGGGAGAAAGAAGAGTGTCCCTGGGGAAAAAGCAGGTGTGTGTGTGTGTGTGTGTGTGTGTGTGTGTGTGTGTGTGTGTGTGTGTGTTTGGGGGACTTTGCTTGGCGTCTGCATGGTATAGTCTGGGGAAAGCCGGGTACAGATTATCTTGGGGGTGCTGCTCTGTCTACGCAGCATGTGGCAGAGCTCTATGTCCTCCTGTCCCCAGGAATGGAAGAATGTGGGGGCAGGGTGTCCCAGGGGGTGGTTTCCCCAGGCCGATCCTAACTCTGTCTTGCATTCTGTGGGTAAGGGTAGCCCTGTCTTTGCTGGACACCTGGTGGCCCTCGGTGTGTGAACGGACACTCCTTCAAGCCCTGGCTTCCCCCCCCCCCCCCCGACTCCCTTCCGCAGGCCTTTTCCTGGGGCCCCCAGGACTCTAGCCTCAGGCCTGTGACTGCACGCCTGGCTCCCCATTCCACCAGCGGCCGCACCCCTCTGCTGTTTCTCATGGCCTCTGGCCCTCGGAGCAGGCTTATTTCAGGAACAGTGGAGGTTGGCGGGCAGCCCAGTCTGGCGTTAGCTTCCGATGCCCCTCAGAGGTTAGGACACTTCATCAAAGCCTGCTTTACAAGAGGGAGGCCCTGTACATACAGCAGCAGGAGAGAGGCCGCCGCCCTTCCCATCTCTGCTGCAGCTGATAGTGGTACTGCTCCAGAACTGGGCCCGGCTGGGTGGCCTTTGGGACCCGCCTGACCCAGGGCTGACCTCCAAGGGTTCCCTTTGGAGGTCACATCGCTTCAGGGAGAGTACCTGAATGCCTTCCTGAAAGGACCTCACAGTTACACAGGAGAGCTGCATTTGGGGGGCATGCATACTGACGGGATAGGAGGGAGTTGGTTGGAGGTGCACATTGGAAACCCCCCCATGTGGGAGTTCGGGGACTGAGCCACTGCCCGGTGTCCTGGTGCTCTGAAGGCTGCTGCATCAGGTCCCAAGGGTACGGCACTGTAGGTGTGGGCACTGGTTACCATATTCTTCTCTCTACCTGTAGGGGCTGAGGATGCCTTGGAGACAAGCCTGAGAGCCCACGGGTCCCACACCATTAAGCATGTGCCCGAGAAGCGGCCTGTGCCTATTCGCAGGAAGAGAAGTATTGGTAAGCACCGGAGGGTATGCGGCAGCTGGAAGGGAGCTGGTCCTCACTGGAGCTCCCTGCTCACTCAGAGGGATAGGCACAGGCACCTAGCCTTCCTCCACCGAACAAAGGCTCCCTTGGCCTCCTGCCCTCCCCGTGGAGGCCGCCCTCTTCTCTCTAGAGTGTCTCCCGCCTGCCCTTCTGCAGTCTTGTGCCTGGGCCAGGAGTTTTTCCAGGAGGGGAACATTATAAATTCCTTAAGTGCCCGGTCTTGTCAGGGCCTGTCTGCAAGGAGGCTTCGTTGGAAAACGTGGCCAAGCTTAATTTCCAGTTCCTGATGGGAGCTCCAGCATGCTCCCGGGCTTCAGCTGCAGGGCTGGGTGCAGCCTGGAGTGTGCCCCTTCCCCATTCACCTTGGTCCCTAGGGTGCCACTTGCCCCTCATTCTGGGGACAATTAGATTCTCTCAAGATCTGTGCATTCTCTTCCTGGGGTGGGGTTGCAAGCATGACCCACCCAGTCCCAGCTCAGCCAAGGGTGCTGTCTACATACAGTTTGGATCCTGGGCAAATGGGTCCCTCTCTGATATTTAGTTATCAGTAAGATGATAAGATGATGGCTTTTATCCATGCCTCACTGACTAGCAGAGAACTTTCCTGAGGTGAGAATAGATGGGAGCTTCCAGCCAGGCCTCAGTCATCCAGCTAGGACTGTAGAGAGTCCCTATTCCCAACTGAGCTGGCGGGGGGACGACTGATGGCAAACCACGTAGGGAGCTGAGGCCTCGGTATGGGACTCACTTGGAAGATTCTACAAGCAAGGGCTGTGGTGAGAGATGTGGAGGAACCAAGCCCAGTTGCCCAGTGTGCCCAGCCCAGTGTTTGGGGCCTCTGTGTGGGAGGGACTCATAATCCAGAAGGACAATGCAGGCCCTCGAGGACAGGGAGGAATCTGGTCCCTATCTTCTTCATTCATGCCTTCCTTTCTCACCTCCAGGGAGTCTGTAAACACCTGTGCAGCTCCTCTGGGGTGTGTTGGCAGCTGTGGGTGTGCATATTCCTAGTGTCTCGTAGGCTAGGTTCACTCCTGCTGGTCAGCTGGCCCGAGTCTTGTCTACCCTGAAGACCCTGGTCCCTCGACTCCTTCCAGCTCCGAGTCTAGGGTTGAGGAGCCCTTCAGTGTTGATAGGGCAGCAGAGACCGTCAGTAGGCAGGCCTCAGAGGCTTCCTGCTACCTCAGCCACCTCTTCCCACATTGGCTAGTCCCAAAGCTGGGCACTGCCAGGCAGCCATTGTATAGCGACCCATGGGGTCTAGGGTTCAATGGGGTTAATGGGGATTGCTTGAGGAGGAGAAGGGTGTGTGTTCCAGGGTCCTGAGGGGATTCCTTGTCTGCTGTGCACACCTGGCAAGCAGATGGCCCCAGACTGGCTGTGTTCACCCTATGTGATTAGTGCAGGTCAGGAAATAGCTGCCTCCTCCTTGGGGGACAAATAAGTAGAGTTTTGCTGGCTTTCACGACCAGATCCCCAGTTGTGGGCTGTGTGGAGACTGGGGTTGAGCTACTCCTCGGCCGTCCCACTTCTTAGACGGCAAAAACAAGGAGAGGGTACAGGGATGGAACCAAAGCCTTGTGCATGCTAGGCAGGTGCTCTACCACTGAGCCACACCCCAGCCCCTCACTGGGGGATTCTAGGCAGGGGCTCTACCACT